GGAACGGCCCAGGCCCCATCTCGCCCTGCTGTCCTGAGCGCGTGTGGCCGCTGTAGGTCTTCAGGTCTTGCCTGACGTTGAAGTTTACACCTTTAATGTGTCACCCACAAGCCTGGGCGGAAGCAGGACCGCCCAGGGCCAGCAGTTCAGCAGTGGTAGCCCAGGGAGCCCCAAGAGCTTAGCTGCCCAGCAGAGGGGACGGGCACTGCAGGGGCCTCTGACTGGCATTCAACCGGCCTGCTGGCGGTAGGGAAAGGAAACAGGATTTGTCAGCCTGTGGCCGGCCCTGGAGTGCTGAGCAGCTCTGCCTCTGGGCGGGGGCCTCCTGGGCGCTGACCTGGGGACGCCTGTCCGCGAGGGCCAGTCATCACCCCCCAGTCCCAGAGCCACCCAGAGCAGATGCTAACCGCTAATCCAAGGCAAGGCCTAGGCCTCGGGCCAGGCCTGGCTGGCTGGCTCCCCTGGCCGGGCCCTGTGACCCTGGCCACTCCCTTCCCCTCTGCCAGCCAGTGGTGCCCTCATGCAAAAAACGTGCATACCCTTGCATAAAGCACCCAGGAGGGGCACACATAACCCCCCCCATAAATGGCACGTGTAGTTCCTCCCCTGACTGCTTGTCAACACAGGTGCCCTGGGAGAACCCCTGGAAAAACCGTGGGGCCCCAACTTCCAGACGCTTCCCGGCACAGCTCTCGCCTGCCCCCTGCAGGTCTCTGCAACCTCTTGCTTCTCCCCTTAACTGCTGTGTTTGCCGGGACTGAGGCCCTTAAGATGCCCTGCAAAGCAGGTAGGACCAGTAAAAGCCATTTTACAGGTGGGCAACAAAGACTTGATGGAACCCCAGCAATGCTAACATCCCTGGCCCTCTTCTTTAAAGTGGGCACCATAGATCCCGACCTCACAGGTCTGCGCAAAGCAGCTGTCTGTATTACCTGCCTTCCCCGGACGACCTGCTCGCGTCACTCAGCAGGAAGTCAGGCGGAACGGGGACTCTGGAACCCCATTCCCTGGCAGCAGAGGGAGTCCACCAAGTGCAAACTGCTTTTCCCCGTTTATCGGCATCTTTAGTTTCCGGGGGTAACTGGGGGCTCTTCCTGGAGGTCGCGCTCATTAGCTGCCTGGGAAATAAAAGGGTATTTCAGAGGGGAGTTCCATCTGTCAGTGGGATGCCCCTTTCTCTGGTTCTCAGGCCCAAATTCAGCCCCATCTTGAATATGTGGCACTTAAGTAAACTTGCTTCAGAAACTCATAGAAAATGGTTTGTTTTTGGGCCCAAGGACACAGCAAGATAGTGACTCTGTCCACCACGGGTCAGCTTCTGGCCCCAAGGACACGCTGCCCAGCCTCCCAGAGGGCGCTCCCACGCTGGGAAGCTGGCCTTTCCTGCAGAGATTCTTTACCCTCCGGCCCTCCCAAGGAAGGGGAGGAGGAGTAAGGCAAGGTTCCAGGCACGTAATCCTCGGTAACACCTTCTCCAGCTAGCTAAGCTCCAAGGACTTTGCAGTGTGTGGGTGGCAGAGGAAGGGGGAGGGCTTCCCGAGGGAGATGCCATCTGAGTTGGGGCCTCTGGGGGCTCAAGGGTTAAGTCTCAATACTGTGAAGCTATCGGCAGCCACTGCAGCATGAGTTCAATCCCTGGCCGGGGAGGTGACCCACGGGGCACGGCGGACCTCTCCTGGCCTGTCCGTCTACCTGTTCTGCTCCCTACTCTGTCTTGCAAGTCCTCTCACCGCCCCCCCAACATCTGGCCTTACCCCCAGCTCTTTTTATTTTTAAAGATTTATGTATTTATGCATAAAGAGCTGAGGTACAGGCCAGAGATGAAGGGGCAGTGAGAGGCTTCACCAGAGACAGAGTGGGGAGCAGAACAGGCAGATGTATTGAAACACACTGCTGAGGGGAGCAGTGGGCGGGTCAGGAGGGGTCTGTGGTCCCCTGGGGGTCACCTCCGGGCCGAGGGTTGAACTCGCACTGAAGCGGCTGCAGCCAGCTTGCAGTACTGTGTCCTAATGCGTTGCACTACCAGGGAGGGCCACCCAGCTCTTATATGCATAAATAATAAATAAATCTTTTTTTTAATCTTTTTTTGCTTTTCCTTCTATGGCTTTATTGACGTCATGTTGTCATGCAGTAAGCTACACATATTTGATGAGTTTTGACATCTGTACACACCCAGATAACAAAGATTTCCATCACTCCCGAGAGTTGTTTTGTTTTGTTTTTTTTCTTTTTTAATCTAAAAAATGGGATAGGAAAATGTAATCACTGCTGGTATTTTCCCTCAACTTCCTCCATTCTGATTATGTGGATCTGTAATTTTTAAAAAAATCAAACACACACACACATCCTCAGGCACCCTCAGCAGGGGCCCTAGGCCAAGATTCCTGCAAAGCTCTCCTCAGGTTGCACCTCCCCTTCGCTGGAGAAGAAGCTGGGCCCCGCAGCCCCCTCTGCTGGAAAAACACAGGACTCCTGATACCTCCAAACCCGAGGACACAAACAACCCGAATGTCCACAAAGAGATGAAAGGATGAACAAAATGTGGCACTTCCACGCAGCGGAATACTACTCAGCCATGAAAAGGACTGATACTTACTGTCACATGGATGAAGCTTGCAAAGCCTGTACCTAATGAAAGAAGCCAATCACAAACAGCCAAATAGTATATGATTCCATTCATATAAAATGTCCAGAATAGGCAAATCTATAGAAACAGGAAGTAGTCTGGTGGCCTTCTGGGGGCATGGGGAGCCTCTGAGGGCGGGGGGAGATGGGAAGAATGGCCATCGAGTTTCTTTTTAGCATGAACATGTCCTAGAAGCAGACAGTGGTGACGGCTGCACTTTGTGAATACACTGAAGACGATTCAGGGCCTCCCTGGTGGTGCAAAGGGGTGAGTCTCAGCACCATGGAGCTATCGGCAGCCCCTGCGGCGTGAGTTCAATCCCCGGCCAGGGAGGGGCCCACAGGGTGCAGCAGACCCCCTATCTCCCCTCAGCAGTGTGTTTCAGTCCATCTGCCTGTTCTGCTCCCCGCTCTGTCTCTGGTGAACCCGCTCATCACGCCTCCTCACCCCTCCCCTCTGGTCTACACCCCAGCTCTTGTGTGCATAGATAAATGAATCTTTAAAAAAGAACTATTCAGTTACACACTTGAAATGGGTGGAATGCACAGTATGTGAGTTCTACATCAGTATGCTATTTACTAGAAGTCAAAAAAAAAAAATGGGATAAGTTAAGTTCACTCTTGGGGCCCAGTGTGGGTAGGAACAGATGTCGACCTGCTCACTAAGGGATAAGGCCTTCAGTGCCCATCAGCTCGAGTATGTGGGCCCCTTGCGCAGGTCACCACGTCCTTCGGCTGTGAGGCAGGCTTAAGGTCCGGCCGGCTCCAGAACTTACGTCCCTTGCTAAGGAGAGCCCCAGGAGGGCACTTATCTCCATGTGCTTTCGCTGGCTGTAAAGGGGCCGGCTGAGCCCTGAGCAGGTGGCCAGCCTGGCTGGGCAGGACGAGCACTGCACAAGGACACACAGTGGGCCCCGTCCCCGCCTGGGCTTGGTGGCCACGTGCTGGGAGG